AGTAAAAGGAATATAAGTAGGGGAAAATAAACAATGGAATTATTAGGATTTAAGATACAGATAATTATCCCTGACTTTATAGAATGAAAGATGGAAGGAATTGGAAACCATACAAGCCAGTATTTCTCAGCCTTGGGATCTGAGTGGACTTCAGCTCCCAGAATGTTCCAGCCAGCTATGCTGGGAGTTGAAATCCACATATCTTAACCAGTGGTGGGAGTTGCAGATTACAGGACAAATTTCCCTTTTTTACTATTATAACAAACCATGTTGAAGGAGATTGTACTCTTAATGTTTGCTTATAAATGCTTCAAATAAGTATTTTCTGGAACTGATCCTTACTACCGGAAAGAATGTGTTGAATCACATTCAACTCAGCAGATGTTTAGTGCCCAATGTAACTCCCCTTTGACTTCAGAGATATGAAACTGTGTGGAGATATAGATCGTAGATTATAGAGTGCCTTTGAGTTTGTATCTGTAAGTTTCATGCGTATATATAATTACCATCATCATTTTTATCTCTAGAAGATTAGTGTGAAATTTTTAAGCAAGCCAAAAATATAATTAACACTGGTGCCATTTTGGAGGCGGAATTTAACATAAAAGAAAATAAATAAAGCTCTGAAGAGAATGAAGTTTAATCACATATTTTCAAACAAACAAAAACTGTGGGCTGCATTTGAGGTAAATCCCTTCTTAATTTAGCAAGCAGTTTGTTTTGTATCTCTGGGTCAGGGAGGGAAATTCTTCCAGTACTGTAGTTTCTGTGAACTTTGCTGTGGATGTTATACACAGAGTTGGGTTTTGTTTGTTTGTTTGTTTGTTTGTTTGTTTTAACGTGGGTAGTATTAGTCAGCTTCAAGAGGCAAGACTAAAAACATACACACAGTTCTCCCCTCTTGCAAATGGGCTTAAGAAAAGAATGGCAGGCAGTGACATGTCCATAGAAATGTCAAGGAAAATATTTAAATAAGAACATTTCATCAATTCCTGAGGACTAAGGCCTCTATGCCAATTCTCCACTACTCCAAACCCATCCCTGAGACTGGATGTGTAGGAAATTGAACAATTTAAGTTGCAAGCATTTGCAGATGATCTGGTTTTTATTCTAGAAGACCCACTAGAAACAGCATCAAAATTGATAGAAAAGATAGAGACATATGGAAAGGTGGCTGGTTTGAAAATAAATAAAGATAAGAAAAAGATCTTGATAAAGAATATGCTATCAAGACAAAAGGAAGAACTGGCAGACTTACTGAAAATTCAGGTTACGAATAAGATCAAGTACTTGGGGATATACTTGACAGCAAGATGCAGTACACTAAAAGAAAATAATTATATCAAACTTAAACAGCAGATAGCACTAGATTTGGTGAAATGGGAAAATTTACAACTGTCATTAATAGGGAGAATATCAACAATCAAGATGAATATATTACCCAGAATTTTATATTTGTTTCAAACAATTCCAATTAGGCTTGGAAAAGACTATTTTGAAGATTTAAATAAAATTGTGTTGAAATTTATATGGCAAGGTAAGAAAGCAAGAATAAAGTTAAAACTTTTGCAAGATGCTAGAATAAGAGGAGGATTTGGTTTGCCTAATTGGGAGTTGTATTACCAAGCTACAAATTTGATGTGGGTTAAGGAATGGATAACATTAAGAAATACTAGATTGTTGACATTAGAAGCACATGATCTGTTGTTGGGGTGGCATGCTTTTTTATGGTATAAAGCAGGGGTCCCCAACCACTGGTCCGCGGACCGAGACCGGTCCGCGGAACAAGTCTTACCGGGCCGCTGATTGCTGGGCGCCGCCATCTTTTTTTGATAAAAAAGTGCTTCCGGTGAGCTTTTCCGGGTAGAAAGCCATTTCTACCCGGAAAAGCTCACCGGAAGCGCTGGCACCGCCATCTTTTTTGATGAAAAAGTGCTTCCAGTGAGGTCACCGGAAGCACTTTTTCATCAAAAAAAGATGGCGGCGCCCAGTTGATGCCGGTACCGGGCCGCGGCGCCCAGCTGATGCCGGTACCGGTCTGCGGCATAAAAAAGGTTGGGGATCACTGGTATAAAGGAACTAAAACACAGGGGTACTTTAGAAGACATTATCAGCAGCAGGATTGCAGGATTGTCTTGTCCTATTAGCTTCTGAATGTCTTAGCTTATAAATGTATTCCAGTGTGGCCAGTTGGTTGTGTGATTGTTTGTTCCTTTGGAGCTATATTTACATTTTATTTATTTTTATTTATTTGATTTGTCAATTGTTTACAAGATAATAAGTACAAGTGTATACATGGTTGTGAATATATTATATACGGGAGTCTCTGTGGTTAAACTGGGAGAAGATTAAAAGACAATGCTATTTGAAAATTCCAGTCTGGTTATCGACTATTGAAGCATTTTCTTATCCTATAATATACAAAAAGGAACAAATAGTTAGATATGGTGAAATATTGAATGAAAAGGGTGAACTTAAATCTATGCAAAAACTAGAGGAACAGGGTATAAAGATAAATTGGTTCTCATATGCGCAAATACAGATTCTAAAACAGAAGGTTTCTATGATAAACTGACTGACTTAGATAAGATTTTGACAGGTACTGATGAAAAGGTGATTAAAAAATTGTATGGATATTTATTAGAAATTAAACTAGAAGAAGAACAAGTTAAAGAAACTATGATTGCTTGGGGGAAGAATTTTGGATATGGGATTGATCTAGAGCAGGGCCCGCGGGCCACATCCGGCCCGTTAGTCTTTTTAATCCGGCCCGCCGAAGATTGGTACAGAATTAAGGTTTGATGTGAATGATTGAATGATTGCATTCATTTGATTTTGACTTGTAATGACAGGCATTTCGACACCAGGTGGCGGTCCGTCTGTCAAATTTTAAAAGTCAATGAGGCCCCCGAGCCAAAAAGTTTGCCCACCCCTGATCTAGAGAAATGGCAAAAATTGTGGTCTCAAAATTATAAAATGACAATGTCAACAGCATATAAAGAAAATTTGTATAAGATGTTTTACAGGTGGCATTTCCCCCCGACAAGAATAGCAAGAATGTTCAAGAATAAATCCGAAAAATATTGGAAATGTCATCAGACACCTGGCTCATATTACCATATGTGGTGGACTTGTGCGGATGCTAAAAAATATTGGACTAAAATCCACACGTGGTTTGAAAAAATGACAAAAAAGCATATAGACTTGAAACCAGAGATATTTTTATTGGGAATTTTACCTGAAACATATAGTAAAGATTTGAAATACCTGATTGTAAATGTATTAACAGCGGCTAGGATTGTATTTGCTAAAAACTGGAAAAATGAGAAAATACCATCACAGGAGGAAATTATTAAGAAAATATTGGAATGTGCTGAAATGAGCAGATTGACATTTGAAATTAGAGAACAGGATGATAAACAATTTTATAAAGTTTGGGATCTATTCTATCAATGGTTAGACAATAAAATATAGTAACGAAATATGTAGACTTTTAGAAAATACTAAATATATAAAGATGTATTCTTTTCTTATTATATCTACAAAATGTTTTTAGGATAGATTTGGGATGATAATATGAATTGTCACAAAACAAGTTAAGTAAAATATGATTATTTTCCAAAGCATGAATGAATAAAAGTATAGTCAAATGATTGATTAATAATGATACCAATGTATTTAATATTGGATTAAAAATATGAGATCATATACAATGTAATTGTAATTGAAGACTACGAAATGGAAGCACAAAACAATTTGTAAACCAACCGGCACACTCTATGTTACATATATGGAAGATGGCCTGATGTTTTTATGTTTTGTTTGTTTATGTTTGTTTTAAAAACCAATAAAAATTTTAAAAAAAATTATTTCCGGTTCTGTGAGCATGGCTTGGTGGGCATGGCAGGGGAAGGATATTGCAAAATCTCCATAGCCTCCCCACCCCATTAACCTACTTTCCACTTCCGATCTCCTGTACAGGGCAACAAAAGAAGACCCAGCCAATCAGCGGGGACTCAGGAGGCAGAGAATAGATGGGGGTGGGGCTAGTCAGAGGTGGCATTTGCTGGTTCTCCAAACTACTCAAAATTTCCGCTACTGGTTCTCCAGAACAGGTCAGAACCTGCTGAATACCACTTCTGGGTGAGAGGCTATGTTGGATTTTGGTTTCTCACAAATGTGGCTGTTTTCTGGATACATGTGTGTTTTTATTGTTTGGCTTCTTGCTATGTATTTTAAGACACTAGAGTCTTTTGGGAGTGAGGCAGTATCCATATCTCATACTAATTAACCAATAAAGCCTAAGGGTTGAAAATAACCACGAATCTCTTTTTTTGCATATTTGTAACGCTTGCTACCACAATTGCCGAAGGTTTTAGGTATTTACAGTTTTCTAATGTTCTGAGGCAGGAAATAATGCAGAAATTATATTGTAAATCAGAAATATCCAGGAAAGGGTATAAAGAAAATCAAGAGGGCAGTAAACCACACAATCAAGGCCCTGCTCCTTTTTAATGTGCATTTGGAATTGCCTTCCCCAGATTTTTAAATAGCCTTTCCCTCCTGCTCTTTACATGGGCCTTGAAAACCTGTTTTTCCCCCTCAGGCTGTGACTTACCTGGAGTTTGTGTTCTGAAAAGCAATTGTGCAATTTATGTTGGTAGCTGTGCAGGTTATGTTGGTTCTCTGGTTACTGGCATCTTTCATCTTTTATATTAGGCTTTTTTTTAATGTGTATGCCTGAAATTTTTGCAAGTTAGGCAGCTCTAAAGATATGATAAACAAATAAATAAATGCACATGTCTATGTAATCATCAGGAGTTGTGCTTGGTTCAAGTGAGATGTTTTTATTTTATGGCAAATCTGTGTATTCAAACTCTTTTGGGTTGTGCATCATCCAGTATCTATATTGTCCTCTGTTGCTTTTTGTCCCCTTGAGAATTGTATTATATAATATTAGCTTTCCACCAATGGTGCAAATTGCTCTTGTAAAATAGCATTCAACAAAGTACCGATGCCTCCTGTTGCTCTTTTTTCTTGTGCTTTCTAATAAGCTTCTTGTAGAGGTACTGGATTCTCTGGTTTTCTTGGTTCTCAAAAAACGAGGCTGAAATTTTTCGGCACAGACGGTGTGAGTATGCTTCCAAAAATACCGTAGCATAAATGATGCCAAAGAGAAGCACAACGGCCAGAACCAAAGCTGTGTGGGGAGGATTTGGCATTTGCATGAAGCATTTAGAAGAAACGAAAGTCAAGTTTTGATGGTAATTTCTCTCAAATAAAACCATTAGGAAAGGTTGGATCTGAAACAAGAAATGAATTATTAATTAAAAATGTAGAGGCTACCTCCAAGGGGGGGGATCAGACACCTTAAAATCTTCCCAGAACATTACACCCTCTTTTCCATTTTCTTATTTTAACCAAGTAGTATTTACCAATTTTAGAACTGAATATTTGTACTCTACATATTTAACATTTTCACCATTTATCTTTTTCTAATCACATTTGATTTTGTTTATCTCTCATGAGATTGGTTTGTCTTTGGAGGGGAAACTAGGAGGTTGAAATTATTACTTGATTTGTTGATTGGTTTATTTGATATAATGTTTTTATTTTTGTTTTTACATTATAATTGCCAGAAATGCAGCACAGGTTGTGAAAACATTGCCTGTATCTTACACAGGAATTATGAAAGGAAGCCAAATGAAGTTCTCTCTGAAAATAGGTAGTGTTTGGTATTTCAGACATTAAGCCTTCTGTCCTGTGGGCTCAGCTATGCCATTTTGTTGCCTACATTATTAAAATTCCATAGTGAATCCAGTAACATTCATTTGATATGTATTGACAAATGGCATTTCATGGCTTTATTTGAAATCCTGGAGGTTGCAGCCCTAACATATCTGAAAAGTTCCAAGCTAAAAGAGACCAATTTAAGCCCAAACTAGAGACTTCAGTACTCACTTCATATTTTACCCAGAACGTAACTGGGACAACAGGGATCCGAGTGACTTCAGTTACAGCTGTTTGTGCCAAATGAAATGCAATGTAGTCAGCTGCTATGACAAGCAGCATCACCACTAGAACTAATGTGAGAAGAAAAACATGTCTGAGGGAAGCCTTGAGTTCTTTTGGGGACAATTTGAAGCTGGTTGGTTTAATTAACTTCCTGGATGTGCAGATCAGTACATCAGCTGTTTTGTTTTCCCGAGCCAAATCTTCCAGCTTTGGGGTAATGTAAATATTATCAAAACGAACATCTGTAAGATAGTTCTTCAGGTACCATGTCGCTTGAAAAAGGAGATAGAAGAGAAAGAACCCAGCCATCACCCGGTTGGTCAAAAGTATGACCTTCTGGACCAATTTATCAGCATATAAAAAATCTTCCTTGATACTTTGGCTAATGTTATCCATTTTCTCATTTAGTTGGAAGATATTACTGTCATTTCTAAACTGAACATGGCTATCCCTTGAACTAAAAAAATTATCCGGCATATGGTCAATGATGCTTTTGAGAGAGTGGCTGAAATCCCAGGAAGCATTACCCAACAAGAGCATTGAGGCCACAAGGCTTTCCATGGAATTCTTGCAGGTGCATTTAATGATTTTCAGGATTGCTTGGATATTGTTCATAATATTTGGGATAATGTTGACAGCTACAATCATAAAGCAGGCAGACAGCAGCAGCCTTCGTCCTTGTCTAGTCCCTAATGTAGGCACAATTATAGTAAACAGGCACCGAACTGGATGCACCAAAAAGAGGATTAAGAACACCAGGAAACTAAGGACAGAGGATGCCAAGGCAGAAAACTGAAAGGAATATTGCAGAGAGGAAAACATCCAGCAGTAGAAGAGGCCTCCAACAGATGCTGCAACACAGGAGCAGATCACACATAAGGATAACAGTTGGCTGTGGCTGGATGGTAATGGTATGGAGTAAGCAAGCCAGATATCCAGCATGAATTCTTGTATCTTTAGGAACTTAATGTCCCAAATGTAGGTCCAGATTCCCAACCTGTATCAGTAATGGATAAAGTAGTTTCAATTGCTAGAAACTATTTTACACACATATGTACACATATTTCATTTACACATGCACACATATCTCTCTCTCTATAGAAACATATACACATTCAAGTTTGAAGGAGAATTCTATATTTCCCACCTTTTATTCTGGAGCTCTAAGCAATATACATTGTGTTTCCTTACAATAACTTGTAGGTCAGGAAAAAAAATAATGATGATGAGCCCAAAGTCTCCCAGTAAGCTTCCATGGGTGAATTGGATTAGAACTTGGGTCTACTTGCTTCTAGCCCAATATTTTACCCAATTAAAAATAATACTATTCTGTGCATTGGGCACCATAAGCTCTTAGCAAATACCAAAACAAAATTGTTTGTAATCAGTTGATCAAACAGAAATACAAGGTAACCATTCAGTTACAATCATGTACTATTAAATCTATGCTTATTTTTGGACTGATTTGAAAAGAAATCTTCGTGCAATTACTCTGCATTCCTCTGTACAAAATATACAATTGCAACTTAATCTTTTCAAACAATAAACTGAAACTCATTTGCATTGATTTCAGAATAATATAGGTTATGTTAATATAATCATTCAATTCTTCGCTATATTACCCAAATGTTTTTAATGAAAGCATTCTCAAAATAAGGTGTAACAGACCTATATTTTCTTCAGTGGAACAGTTCATACTAGCAATATACTCATTGTTTTTGTTTCTTTTGTTAACACAAGAGAGGATATTATACAATATCAATTAAAATATTTTTTAAAAATTACACATACCCAATTTTATGAAGAAGTTTCCAGATCCTTTGGAAACAGTCAGCAATCCTGAAAAAATTCATCTTATTTTAAGATTAAAAAATAAAATAAATTAATTGAAACCCAACAACAAAATGGGATAGAAAAACCCAGAAAATCTGGGATTAGATAATAAGAGTTATTAAATTAAATTAAAAATTAAAAATATTAATTTAAAAAAAATAACCTTAACTGTTCATTTAAATTGTTAGTTTAATCTGCAGTGTATCCTAAAGATGAATACATTTCCTCCATTTGTGCCTGTTGCTGATTGAATATCATACCAAGAATATTAAACATAAGATTAATAATTGTAGCTGTAGAGGATCTCTGCCAGTCCTTTTTTTGGTGCTAGTAGTATATTGTTCAAACTACACTTAGTATTGCAAAAGTAGAGTCAGAAAAAGAAGAAGCTAGGGAGCATTTATTTTTATACTATACTGAGATTGGTCACTCGGAATTACCACTGAATCATGGTGGTTAACTTAATCAGCTGATTGCAACCTACTTTAATATGTTTCCGTAATGTGTTGTTTTATTATTGATGTTGTTTTCATTGCTGATTGGGAGCTGCTCAGAATTTGATATAAAATGGGCTGAAATATAAATGCTTCACATAAATAAATAATTTAATATTAGTAAGCATATTTTGATGGCACTGTACTCATTTAGAAATCATGTTCCCAAACTTAAAATATCTGTTCATGCAGCGCATTATACCAATTATACCATTATAGCAAAAATTCAATCAGGATTTTTTTGGACATTAGCAAGAGATCAATAATAAACATAAGTACCACAATTATTATGTAATTTTCCAGTTGCCCAAATCTCAAAAACAGTATCAGAGAAGTTTTACAGCAAAGGGAGATGAAACAGTAAGGTGCGTCTGATTTCTTGTGACTAGCCATGCCTACCAAGACAACCATTTTGTTAGAATGCCATGACATATTCTCAAATTCCAAAACTGCTTACAGTCTCCAAATATTTGCACCATCCAAAGAACCAGTCATTTCTTAATTTTGAGTCAAACTAGACTTGATGGTGTTCTCATTGAAATCAATGTTCTGTTTAAGTCAATGGCAGTTGAATTAAAACTGGAGAGTGAATATTGAACTCTTTCTGCTTCGTTTATAATAGACTTTCCTTCTTGAAAATAAAACAATATAAATACCAGCTTGAAGAGATATCTTTTGACTAGACCCATGACATGAACTAAAGGGCAATCTTCATCTTTATGAATAGCAATTCTTATCCACCATTCATAGTATTAATCCTACATAAAGAGACTAAGGAAGAAAATACAAATATTTTACAAGATGATGATGCAGCTCGACTGTTCTTTACTCCTTCCAGCTCAGATTGAACTGTATTTATCCCTAAGCCTTTTCTCCACATTTAGGTGAAATGTTATTCCATGATTGAACTAAGAGCATGCTCTTCAGATGAATGATTCAGAGAAACATGGGAAGAAATAAATACATATATAGTGCCTGAGTGGGCAGCATAATACAATTGTGTAGCTTAGTAGAGTAATAACATCCCATGAAACCTTTTTCCTTGTGAAAATGTTGAAATCACTTACCTCAAAAACCGAAAGATGAACAAGTGTAATATCACTCACTTCCCCTTCCTCTTTCACAGAGAAGAAAAATTTTCTTTATTGGTTATTAATGGAATTTTCTTCTCTGTTTGTTTTAAAATCTTACTACAGCAGGAATGTTCACAACTTTAGGATCAAAGGAGATTTTTGCAGACACTCACTTAGAGGTATAAAGGCATAAAATGGGTGCTTTAAAGTAAGGCCCTCAAAAATTGCTTTAAAAAAACTAAATTGATTGGCCTCATTCACTCTGAGATTTTGTAGATCACATTATTTGCACTCCTTCCTTCAGTGGTTACATTGAAAGGAAGTTATACCCACTTAGGTTTTGGTAGTGGGAATATTTCTTTGGTAGTGGGAGTGGGAATATTTCTCATAAGACAGACCATTCTTTTTAAAAGCCTCCACTTTTCCCATTGATTGAGCTCTGTGTCCCTTCATACTGTCTAAAAAAATCATAGCTGATCTCATCAAAAAGCCATTTCCGTTTATCGAATATATGTGGATGTGATGGGTTCTGAAAGCCTGCAAAGAGCAAGAAAAAGGTTTGCTTTTTTACAGATGGAGAGAATTATATTTCAGTTTGTTTTGCTAATAGTTCCAAAAAATTTCTTGCTGAATGCAGGGTTTTGGTGATTTAAGGACTTCTTTGAGCAATCCAAGAGCTAGAGGGCTTAGCACTCGGAAGCACTCCCCTTTTACATGTTCCCAAAGCATCACATTCATGTCCTATCTGTTGTGAATCAATAAAAAGTAACTAAGCCCAAATGCAAAGCGGGTTTTGAAAGCCTGCACACCGGATTGGTCCTTAAACAACGAACAAGGATTGGTCCATAACAAGTCCCTGATTGGCCAATATTAGGACACTTCTTATTGGGTATTAGTTGAACTTGTTGCACATATTATTGGTTAATAGGGTAGCAGCCAACCCTATAAAAGGGTTACTGCTGCCCATAGCCTTGCTCTGTTCTGTTCTATCTACTGTTATTAAAGAGTTGAAGTCACTGGTCAGATGTCTGGTCTCCATTATTCTCCAAACTTAACACTATCCTTATGTATTGCTTCTGCCCACAGTTCTCCCTCTCCATTCCTGGAGCAGCCATTCCAGGCTATTTATGGTCTTCCTCCAACACGAAGGTACTTCTGCTCCTGTTTTTCTTTTTCCCCTAGGTACTTTTAATCTCATTTTCTTCTCTTCCAGAGCCCTTTGTGATGCACAGTTTAATAGGTTATCCTCATCCACAGGACATTGGTGAAAATAATAGGAACCCTTTGCAGATGAAACCAGAACTGTACTTATTAGGATTTATGGAAGAAAAACTGAGTAAAAAGTACAGAGTCTTATTGTTCTATAATATGATCGTTGCCGCAAGATTATATGTGCAGAAATGGAAAACTAAAGTAGCTCCACGTGATAATTGGCTATTTAAACATTTTAACACAGATGGCAAAAATGACATGCCTGATCAGAAAAATTTACAGAGGTTTTTAATAAAGACTGGAGTCTGTTTATGGATTATACTACAAAAACAGAGAAATTAGCTTGATGATAAAGGACTTTATAAAGTAAATAAGGGGAGATAATAAAAAGTTTAAATAGTAATTATAATGGTTAATGGATCCACGAGGAAAGTATAAAGAGACATATAAACCTGCAAATACAAAACTAAACATATATCTTAAAAAATAGTTATATATTTTAAAGTTAGATGTTTAGCTTTCAATTTGCAGGTTTATGTTTGTTTTTATGTTTATATGTTTTAAAAATTGTTATTGTCCAAACCTGGAGTTTTCAGAAAACATATGCTGGCATCTATTGTGCTGCCCCAGTGGCCAGACGCTCTCATTAATAAAATCAATGACTGTTACAGACCTTTCCATTTTTAAGGTGATACATTTTTTTTCTTTATGTCTCTTGGTAATGCATCAGAGACAAGTAATGCTGTTCACAGACAAAAGAAGGAAAGAGGAAAGAGACATAAATTCTTCAGCTCCGTTTCCATCCTTGATGGCACTATGACTCAAAACTGCCCTCTTCATAATGAAAACTATTTCATTAAAATTTCAGTAATCTTCCTTGACATTAGAACAGGATTTTATTTTGTTTTGTTTTATTTATTTTATTTTCACTTTGTTTCCTGCCTCAGAAAAAGCCATGGATATCATGACATCATTGGTTTTAATGATGAGTGGGACTGAAATTTTCAGATAAATAATTTTCTTGTCATAAAAAAACCTTTTTCAGGTATCAAGGAACACCTGCACAAAAATAGCCAAAAATCAAAAACTTCACAATAGAATTCACATCTAACAAATATAATCTATAAATGGCAGGCCAGCAGCTGAGTCATGGCACATAAAAATTCCAATCACTGCAAGCACTAGCATTGCATAGTGCAAAACGTTTTTTAAATGTTTTTTTTAATCAAGAACTCTCACAGAACCCCTAGCAATGTCTTGCGGTTCTGCAGAGCCTCAGTTGAGAAAAGCTGCTCTAAAAGACTCACCCCCAATTCTCCAAAGTTTTTGAAGACAGAGGGAGCTGCAGAGAAGAGAGTTTGCATAGGGTTCCTGTCTCTGCACCCCTAATCCTGTGGTAAATGCAAACCCATCATTTGCAAGCTTGTCATAGATTTCTCCAAACTTGAGTTCTACTAATAATAGCAAAACATTTTGTTTCTAATCATCCTTGATCTTGTATTAACATTCTCATATCCGTGTATCAGAGACATGACTTAATAATCTCTGCATTCAATGCACATATCTCCATGAACTCATTTATTTGCTCTCTGATTGATAACTAGTGCAAACGTTTGCACAGAAAACTTTTTTAGAAAATGTTAATCAAAGCATCTTGTGGTGGTTTTTGTTCAGGAAAAAAAGAGACAGAAAGAGCACAAGCTTTTAAGCAACAGCTGTCCTTTGAGTAATTTGTCAGTGATTTTGATGGTCTGGAGTGAAAAAAGCATGTGAAAAAAGTGTATACTGTATAAGGTAGCAATAGCAAGTCTATTTTCCTCCTATATAACACAATACTGACTCCTTGTGGCCAAATGATGTTATTTTATTACAATGCTGCCTGAAAATGCACAATTAAAACAGCAGAGATATAAGTTCTGCATTGCAAACAGAGGCCATTGTATTATGAGTATAAATGCAAAGCAAGTGTGTATCACAAAACCAACTAGCAATTATTTCCATTGTTTAGATAGGAACATCTCAGATTATCAACTAATAGTCGTATCTCTAATTTGGGTGGTTATGTCATAACAATAGGATGAGTTAGTGTTAAACCACCAGTCAATTGTTTTAAAGCTAATGATTGAATAGGTATGCTAGGAGATAAAAGGCCCAATCACCCAGAAATGTATCTACCCAGTCATGTAAAACAACCAGGGATCTTGAGATTTACAGGCTTATTCTGATATGTGATGGTTTTAATTCTGTAGGGTTTTTTTTTTAATGAGGGATTACAGAGTCATAAAAAGGGAGTTTATATGTTTATAGTAGTTGCTCCCTACTTTTTGCAAGCCCTACTGTGAACCACGCACTTTAGCTCATTGGAAGGTTCTGAGGCTCAGCCCACATGTAACACACTTGCACTTTGCCAAACTATCAATATTTACTGCAGACTCAGTTCCAAAATGTACATGATGCCTTGCATGGCAGTTCTAAGAAAAGGAGCAGAGCATCATATAAACTCGGCAACAGAGCCCATCAAATATGTGAAACATAATCACTGGGTCTTCTTCTGGCTGACACTATGTACAATATTTTCATTGAAGGTTTGCCTCTGTGATCTACAGATGGATGTGGATGGGGCTGTTGACTAGGTTGGTTTTGACCAATCTCTGTGGCCATAGCTTTATCATTGGACTTCTGAACTCATAATGTTATGTTGTTTTGAATTATATACCACAGAGGGCAATGAGAGCCTCCCTCCTGAATCAAGCAACACTGAGTAAGTGATAGTGATAGAATGTGTTCATGTGTGTGGGGAATTGACATTTAGAAATGTGACATTGGAAGAAAGAATCCCCTTCTTGTGAACTATAATCCTTATGCTAATTGGAAGGCCCAGTGGTTAGTATTTAAAATTGAAAGTTTCATGCAAGGTTAATTTTGGCCCTCTTTGCTGAAAAGTAAGTAAAATACAATTTTGGTTTTCTATTTTTCTTCTGTTGTAACAGATGTAGAAAGCTTACCAGGAAACAGCTCTTAGACCAGTTTGATGACTTCCAGTATATTGGATTGGCTAGCCAGTGGGCATACTGGCTGCAAATTGATGTCCAATTTATTTTGTGGGCTCCAGAGCAGGGAAAATTATACTATTGCTTTTGGGAATTTTGTTTTGTTTGCTTTGGTGCCAACATCAGTTAATCCATGAGTTAAACATGCTGCATGGTAATGGTAGCCTGTCTCTATTTTAGAAGGACTACTTTTGCTTACAATCTTCAGACAAATCAGAAGCAGAGGTGGTATTCAGCAGGTTCTGACCAGTTCTGGAGAACTGGCAGCAGAAATTTTGAGTAGTTCGGAGAACCAGCAAATACCACCTCTGAATGGACATTTTACAGTATCCTTTGCCTGCCACGTCCACCAAGCCATGCCCACAGGTAGTAAAAAAATTTGAATTCCACCAATGAGTTAATTGCTTTTAGCTGTAGAGGAATATATTTTGTAAGATGAGTGGCTTTTTTTTGTCTTTTAATGACCCTGTAATCCCTTGCATCCAGGTGGAGTCAGGGCAAGTGAATGGAGTTGAGTGTTACTGGCTGGATGCCCTTCCTGTCTCCAATGAAGAGTTCACAGCTGATATTTACTCAATGTGCCCAGAGAGAGAAATACCTGCCACTACCTAGGATCAAACTCACAGCTTCCTGATTGTGAGGCAAGAGGTCTTCTAGGCCACTTCCATCACCCATGAGTGGCAATATAAATCATTTTTAAAAATAAATATTCACTATAGAAAATGACAGCAGCCAGGAATTCAAAGAAAGTTAAGGAAGGTCCAATCAGGTTAGTACTCAGATAGAAGAAGACCACCAGAAATCCTACAATTATGCTAAATTGGGAAGTCAGAAAGGCATCCCCAAGGAGGCAGCCATAGCAAAGCATTTCCATGCTGTTGCCAAGATAATTTCACAGTACATATACAGGCAATCCTCAACTTACGACCACAACTGAGCCTAACATTTCTATTGCTAAGTGAAACATTTGTTAAGTGAGTTTTGCCCCATTTTATTACTTTTTCTTGCCACAGTTGTTAAGTGAATCACAGCAGTTGGTAAATTAGTAACATAGTTGTTAAGTGAAACTGGTTTCCCCATTGACTTCGCTTCTCAAACCCCCTGGACACAACTGCCATCATAAATATGAGTCAGTTGCCAAGCATCTGAATTTTGATCATGTGACTATGGGGATGCTGCAATGATTGTTAAGTGTGAAAAACGGTCATAAGTCACTTTTTTCATTAAATGAACTGTTGTAAGTTGAGGACTACCTGTTGATCCCAGAGGTTTAATCCAGCTTCAAAAAACATCTTTATCATCTATCCAAGAGATTAAAATATCCTCAGTCAGGAGTTGAAGTTTCTAATAGTTAGAATTATGGTTATGTTTCAAGGAAGTGCAATTTCTGTCTGTTGTTTTGATAATATTTGTTTGGAAAAGGACCCATTCCTGAATGCTTGCTGCTATAGTATGTGTCTCTAAAAGTTACTATACCCTGCATTATAGAGCATTTAATAGTCATCATAAATCATGTGAGTAGAGAAACTTTGGCAGTACTTAACCAACCTAGGCTGATGTTGAAAATTTAAGCAAATGATAATTTGATTGGGGGATCTGAGTGTGATTGAATGGGAGACCACCAAGATAGCAAAGGATTGTTGGCTAGGCAGGGAAATGTTATATTAAATGTTATAATATGAATGACCAATAGGAGGCACTACACAATCAGTTACAACCCTACTGACTTTTTCTGTAAACTACTGACTACCAGGCCAAGATAACTCTAAAGTTAAATGCACCACATAGCTAAGCTTGTGGATTCAAGGATTAAACACTGGGTTGAACATAGAACATCTAGAACTCAGAATAACCTACAGCAGATAGCATGAACTATATCTATGTCTAAGAGTCACAACATGGATGAAAGTATGTGCATAGTGCCTCCTATGTTCAGTAGCTAATATAATATTTAAAGTAAGATAAGGCCCACCCTTAAAGGGAGACAATCTTGATGCCTCTACATAAGGCTCAAACCAATACAAATCTCAAAATTCCCCAGCAGGAAAGCATGCTTAAAAAAGAGAAAGATGTACTTGCATAGCGTCTTTAAGTCAAGGAAAACAAAACACATCTTAGAAGAAAGGAATGTCAAACATATATTATTACCAAATAAATTAAACTGCCGAGAATCAAGCTTGATCACAGGAGCCTTTTTCTTTTTTTGTAGGGTCTGGGCAAACACAACATGCCAGTAGTAGTTGCACTCATAACTAAAAATAGGTGGGCCCACTCTCTTCAAAGTAAAAGCTATACAGTATGATAGATGCAAGATTCCTGGAAAAACAGATACCAAGTTTATAGAGACCAAATTAAGGTGTTTTTTTTTAATGGCTGTGTTTGTTATCACGTCCAATATTTAAACATTCAACAGCTGGTTTATTTTCCATACATGCTTTTATAGAAGTAAAAATTGCAATGCTTCAGTTCCCCAGTGAGAGGTGCATGGTAGCCATAATATAAGCTAACAAAGAAGGGTGTTGGATAAGTTCTTCTATCATTCAAAATGCTGACATTACTGATGCCTTAGTATTTTTTAAAGCAATCATTGTATAGTTTTTATTTGTGATTTATAAGCATAATGATTTATCAGTGATATTTCTTCTATGTAATTTTAAGAAGCTTCATAATACTTGTGTCAAAAAAATCAGTACAGTGTTGCAATTTTAGCAAAAATATTTCATTCCCTTAAGCCTGCAGGGGTGTCAAAGTGGTGGCCCATGGGCCAGATGCATCACATGCAGGCCACACCCAACTCTGCAAATGGGGGGAAACGGCACAAAACGTCACGTGATGGCTACATGACACAGCGAATTGGACACCCATGTCTTAAGGCTTGAGATCCAACCTGCAAAAATTCAGACAACCACTGCTTCTAATGGTTTCCTGGATTTTTTTCATCCCAGATCTTCTACAATTATATAACCAGCCTAGTCAACATAATTATCTTGTTTTATAGTGTGGAAATTAATTTTAAAAATGTTCATTTGGACAATACATCATGTTTATGAAAAAAAAGGCTAAACATCATCTCTTCCTTGTGACTCACAAACATAGAACACAACAATACAATAGACTAATTAGTGCATTTTATTCTCAGTCATCACAGTAATGCACCTCAGCTATCTGGAGTTATATCATCTGATGCTTGGGTGGTTATATGTCAATGATTTAGTTTGACCTTTTCCTATTTTCACATCAGTGATGTTGATTTAATATAATTTTTAAAGTAACATGAACCTTTAACAAGAGAGAGTAAGAAAGGCAACCCAGCATTCCGTTTGCCACATATGCTCCAGAAACAAATCCTGAATTAAGTTTGGGCAAGGAATAACAAAATTCATCATAGCAAAATTCATGGCTGAACTTCCATATACCCTCAGTAGAATTCTTTACAGTATATTCAATTTTCCAAAGTATGCATTGATCTTATACTTGCTTAAAGTCCATTTCCTATACACACATATTTAATAATATAACACAGAATCAGGTTTACAGTGTTGATTGGAATCAATGTTCATACATAAACACTTTCACTGAAAGTACACAGATCATCAATCAATAAAAAATGATCAGATTTTAACATCCATTTCTCAAATCCAAGCAACAAATAATTCTCCACAAAAGACTAATGGACATGAGAAGATCAACAATCAAAACTTTTACCATTTTCATGATTTGGATACAGAGAGAGATCTAGATGGTGACTATGACCAGCAATAAAGCACTCTCAGGTATGATGCTGCCAATAACTAATGCCATCTCCATGTGAGCTTTGTCATTTTACTTTATTCCAGATAAATTTCTCCAATGAGCAATGTAAAAAGAAGCCACACTGGAACCACATATTCCAGTTTTTCTCAACCTAAGTCACTTGAAGATGTATAGATTTCAACTCCCAGATTTCCCTAGCTACCATGGGGAATTGAATTCTGGGAGCTAAAGTCCATCTTTTCAAGTGGCCAAGGTTGAGAAACACTGCTCTATCCTATGCCCAGCACACTATTTTATATGAAGTCAGATCATGCACTTGGTGGAATCTAACATACTCTAGAGAATAACAATATAAGACAAACCTTAATACCAGTTCAGATCTCCTTCATACATTGCTATGTACTGTAAAAAAAAACTAGAATAATGCTAAGGGTAACTGGTCACTTAAGCTTAACGGTATTTTTGAATGAAAACAGACCAGTATTCAATTCATTTTCCGCTTTATTTTGGATTACCTCAAATCCCTGACATTAATGGGATCAAGAATGCACTGAAAGAATCTAGCAAGCCTGCAATAAGACATGGTAGAATCTAGAACTGACTAGGTTCTCATTTCAAAATCTTACTGTTGACAATTTTTCATAGTAATTGCTTTTTGTTAAAGGATCATTTTAATTCAGAAAACCTACATTCCTCCCTTTTTTCTTCAATAAATTGTTTATCATTTACTGGACTAATAAGCTTGTGTATGGCAGTTCTGGGCAGCCAACATTTTATGTGATACAAACTCATTTGAACTTGAACATTGAGTACCAAAATTCATGGACATATTCATGGTAAAAACCATACTGTATATAATTTCATTTTACTCATATTTACATGTGATTAACATTAATTTCACTTATAATTACTACTCTCTAGCCATATATTTAGCAATTGTCCCTTTTTTATCACATAAACTACAATCTGAGAGCAACTTTTGGGTATGTGCAAGTGCCATATCCAATTCTTCCATACAGCTTAATTTCAGGTTTTATATCACTAGAGAAATTGTTTAGAGATCACCGTGCACATATATAATTTATCAAGAATATAATTAAAATCCTAAGTGTGTAATTCTGGTAGGAGAGAGTATACATGTTCAAACAATTTTTTTTTTTAAATACACACAATGAGTACTGTTCTTTGGCCTCAAGAAACAGACACAAAAGGCAACGTCAAGGGTGTTGATCTACTGACATGCTCTTTAATACATATCAGTGTTTTCAACAATTTTGTGAAATGAAACTCTGGCTTAAGAGGTGATCACAGCATTTAAGTTACTACAGATTCCTATCAATGTTCAACAGAATTGGGTGTCCTATTATTTGACCTTATTATGGCTATTTTATTTATAGATGGTAAATAAATATCACACATAAAATAAGGATGATAAATACTTTTCTTTCTTATTATATGCAGTACTTTCCCACCCATATTTCATATATATGCGAAATCATTCCTTTTCCATTTTATCTCTCCTATCTTTCAGAACAACTCAGATTTATAATTTTGTCAATATTATCTTTTCTCCTGATTTTTCTAAATACCAAGTTGTCACCACCATGATCAAACAAGGTCAGATGTTTTTTTAAAACATTTCTGCTTTGATAACCTGCTATCTGGCAGAAAATATATATTGTACTTTGCAATAAGCTTTATGATTCAAGGGGAAATACATTGTTTTAATTGCTCGTGTGCTTCTGTATTCAGATGGCAGTATGCTCCTACATTAAATACCCAAATAGTAAAGCAAAATAATCCCCTTTATTTGAACAAAGAAAGATAGGAAAAGATCTTCCAGGGCTCAAACAGTGAAAAACTAGACTTATCTAAAACTATTTGGTAATTCTTTGAATGAAAAATGAAAAAGTCTTTTATGTCTTTCAAATAGTCAATGAATATTTACAAAGATTTGTAAAAACAAATGAAAATACTTGATGGTCCTATGGTGGAGGCACATCCACAGTATGTCCTTCCATGTGTACCAGTATTCAATATCAATTTAATTTAGTGCTCAGATTTGAGAACAGACGTTTTCTCACTCAATCTCATCAATAAGGTTGCTTTACTTATAGTTAAGTAATAGTTATATAAGTTTATTTATAGTTAAGTTCAAAGTAATGTTCTGAGCATCTCCCAGTAGGGTGGTTACGTTTTCCATATGGATGTTGGCCCAGGAAGGAAAGCTGCCTAGCTGAAAAATGCTCATAGCCCAAGTATTGATGGCCAAGCTCAGAAGACAGATTCCCATCAAATTCATCAGTAGGCCAGTTCTCGCCTGCAAGGAAAGAAAGCAAAGAGAGTAAATATTTTTTATTTAGAATGCAGGCTGTGGCTCATTACAGCCTTATAAAACTGAAGCAGGCTTTAGAAGTCATCAATTCCAACTCATTGCTCAATTTAAGACATTTAAAGCTCCATGATCTACAACTGATGGCTGCTCAACCTTGGTCTGGAGAGAGACCCAATGGCATACCAGATATTTCCTTCTTTTGCCATTAGGATGTTTCTTCTAATGTTCAGTTGAAATACATCCTTCTTAATTTAGAACTCTTAGAGCTAATTCAAAATAGTCTGTGCTATTTGTTTTCATGAATAGATTCCCATATTTCCTACATCTCATCTTCTAGAAAATCATCTGTGCAACAGCCTTAAGCATGGGGTTTCAGACAGGTTCTGGATCAAGAAAGCCAGGAATATTTCAGAGAAGGAACTTCATGGTGAGTTAAACTCCAGTAATAATACAGAAATGTATCCAATGAGTTAATGTGGAAAATGTGCATTTTAGGCAATGATCGGAGAGAGAAGGTCTCTTTTGCTAAACATTTGATAATGAGCTGATAAAGGATTAAAGTTCAAATAATTGCTATACTCCTATTTTCTATTTCAAAGCAAGACAGTGATAAATTAATATCCTCAGGTCCTGCAAACCTGATCATTAACAAAATGGGGCAATTTTGAGTAAGGAAACTGCAGTTACTTACTCAAAGATCAAACTAGATATTCACCAATACTAGGAATAACTTTCCCAGGACTACAGGTGAAACTCAAAAAATTAGAATATCATGCAAAAGTTCATTTATTTCAGTAATGCAACTTAAAAGGTGAAACTAATATATGAGATAGACTCATTACATGAAAAGCAAGATCGTTCAAGCCATGATATGTCATAATTGTGATGATTATAGCTTACAGCTCATGAAAACCCCAAATCCACAATCTCAGAAAATTAGAATATTACATGCAATCAATAAAACAAGGATTGTACATAGAAAAATATTGGACCTCTGAAACGTATAAGGATGCATATGTACTCAGTACTTGGTTTGGGCCCCTTTTGCAGCAATTACTGCCTCAATGCGGCATGGCATGGAAGCTATCAGCCTGTGGCACTGCTGAGGTGTTATGGAAGACCAGGATGCTTCAATAGTGGCCTTCAGCTCTTCTGCATTGTTTGGTCTCATGTCTCTCATCTTTCTCTTGGCAATGCCCTATAGATTCTCTATGGGGTTCAGGTCAGGTGAGTTTGCTGGCCAATCAAGCACAGTAATCCCACAGTCATTGAACCAGGTTTTGGTGCTTTTGGCAGTGTGGGCAGGTGCCAAGTCCTGCTGGAAAATGAAGTCAGCATCCCCATAAAGCTCATCTGTGGAAGGAAGCATGAAGTGCTCCAAAATCTCCTGGTAGACGGCTGCGTTGACCCTGGACTTAATGAAGCACAGTGAACCAACACCAGCAGATGACATGGCTCTCCAAATCAACACAGACTGTGGAAAACTTCACACTGGACTTCAAGCATCTTGCAGTGTGTGCCTCTCCATTCTTCCTCCAGACTCTGGGTCCTTGGTTTCCAAATGAGATGCAAAAGTTGCTCTCATCAGAAAAGAGGACTTTGGAAAACTTCCGGTTTGTCGGCTTCGCTAGTGGCAGGGATTTGCGATACTGCGCGATCCCTGCGGCGCTAGCCGTTTTGGTGCCTCCGATCTGGACGGGTTTGGAGGCTAAGGCTGCCCTGCAGGGGCGGCTGAAGATAGGGGGAATCCGGAGAGGGGTTTGGGGGTGTTGCAGACCCCCTCCCTGGCTGGCAAAACCCCCTTTTCTCAAGACGGTGCAGCGGCGGTCCGTAATGGCCGCCACAAAGAAGCCGGCAGCTGGGTAAGAATGTGCAGGAGGAAGAGGAGAAAGTTTTTTAAAGTGAAAGTTTTTCTTGGCTGACCCAGGACTTTAAGACATATTTAACATCCTGAAAATTATGGCTTTCTGAATGATACTTTCCAGAAGAGAACTATAAGCGGCAATTTTGAGGTGCTGAAAAGGAAAGTTTACTCTCCTTCCCTATGGAATCAACAAATGGATATTGAGAAACCTGTCTTTTTATAGAAAGTAAAAACTTGCTTTCTGTGATAAGTGGGAAGGGAGAGGACAATATATATATATATATATATATTAAGATCTTGTTGGAGGAGATGCCTTAAGGATTTGAAGACTGAAATTTATTGCAATAAGGCTTTAAAATACAGATTTGGTTTTTCTTTTTTTGATTGATATTACCCCAGGAAGAGAAAGTGAGAACTTTGTTTTGGCTTGGACTGATTGATGACTTTGGGATTTTGGGACTGTTCTAACTTTTGAAACATCTTGGTTGTTGTAAGAAGAAAGAGGAAAAAAAGAAAAGAAAAGATTTATAATGGCTTTTTCTGTTGAGGAACTGAGAAAAGAATATGAACAAACAAAAAAAGATGGCAAGGACGCTGTAAAAGAAGCTTTTCTCTTTTTAGAAATGGTGCTTGCTATTTATCAACAAACACAACAACAGATGGAGGCAGAAGAAGAAGAAGAAGAAGAAGAAGAAGAAGAAGAAGAAGAAGAAGAAG